CTGCCTGCCCGCTGCCAGCGCCCTGGCTGGCCTCGGGTGCTGCTCGGTGCCTGCTCGGGAGTTTGAATGAGTCCTTCCTCCTCCCCTAGAAGGCAAAGTAACCGGGCTGTCTGCGTGCCACATGTTCTCCTCCCCTCTGCAGGCCTCTCCCAGGGAAGTGGAGCCTACAGGAGCTACCACGGCTGGCAGGAGGGTCCTCTGCCTCTCGTTTTAGGATTTCCTAAGGCACTTCAGAGATTTTTATGCGTAATGAGTTTCGGGCTCACTTTGTTTGCAGCCGCGACCAAACTATCAGTACCGTGTATATATATTTGTACTTTGATTCATTGAGGAGGCTTAGGAGGAAAAGAAATATCTGATTGAAACTGTGGACAAAATATCGATTGCAGGGCTAAACATTGCCTTACAATTCAATTGCAATTAGAAAAGTATCTTCCATAACAATGATAAAGAAGTTGCTTTTGCTACTAGTTGCCTGATGTTTGACTAGTTAAGTTAATTATATTTTAGTAATCATCTGAGATGTGATTGAAGAGGAACATGTGACCATTTCTTTTGCATAAGGTCTATTTTCTAAGATATATCTTTTCTGCTGAGAGAATATTTCGGGTTTCGTGGTTTTGTTTTATATTATCTGCAGAAGAGGCTGTTCTTTGGACAGGGATAAATGTTGTTCGTTTTGGTTGGGTTTTTTTTCCCCCATTCTGTTTCACTATTGCCATTCATCAGTGTATTGGGGTCCAGGATGACTCAAATTTTTAGGTGCTACCATGAAAAAAATATAAAAATAGGGAAATTACATATGATTTATGAAGCATTAGTTTATCTAAACTTGCAAAGCTTGGTTTACCAGTTTTTAAAAATTACTTATAAAGATTTCAGAAAAAGTATAGTTTCCTGTATATAAAGTAGGTCTGAAGAAGAACATATAAAAGGATACCAACATCAGTAATCCCCTGAGAGCACTGTATGGGACTATGTTTCATATTAAGACTAACCATTTTTCCAGTCCTCTTCTGTGAAACGTACTTTTTTTTTTTTTTTTTTTTTAAGTTAGCTAAGCAATCATCAAGCTGTTATCGAAAGAAGATTTATGTTTTTTCCCCTTAGGATCTCAGAAAATCTGTGGATTATGAGGGAATTTGGAGTGAAGAATATGTACTGCAGTGGAGGATTTTACTCTGCTGCACCGTGATGTCTCCACTACCAGTTCACTCCTCTGTGCCATGTACATTTAGGAGTTTCCAGTCCCTTCTGTGAAACGTTCTTTTTTTTTTTTTTTTTTTAAGTTAGCTAAGCAATCATCAAGCTGTTATCGAAAGAAGATTTATGTTTTTTCCCCTTAGGATCTCAGAAAATCTGTGGATTATGAGGGAATTTGGAGTGAAGAATATGTACTGCAGTGGAGGATTTTACTCTGCTGCACCGTGATGTCTCCACTACCAGTTCACTCCTCTGTGCCATGTACATTTAGGAGCCATCTTCCATATGGAAGCAGAGTCAGTGAGTGCCAGGGAGCAAATCTGGCTATCTTCTAATAGAGTGAGGTTTAGGTAGGAGGCTGGAATGAGGCAGGGAAGGGATCTAGAGCTAAAGTAGTAGAGAAGGGGGAACATGAGAATAAAAAAATGATAGAATGAGCTTTTTTTGGTTATTGTTGGCAAATATGGGTCAGCATTTTAGAACTATCTTGTACTGTTGCATGGTCTTGCCTTATTCTCATCTTCAGTAACGGGTAGGAAGGGATTCCACTTCTGAAATTTAGTTTGGGGATCCTAATGGGCTTGGAGATTATACTAGACCATTTAAAGGCTTTATTCCGTTTCATACAATGCTGAAACTTGTCTTTTCTTAGCATTATATAAGTTTAAAAATATAAATTAATGGTTTCAGACCTATGCTAATCCACTTTCTGGTTATGAATAGTAGAATCAAAATGGACACGTTTCTTTGCTGCCTCAGGGGGAGCAGTGGACACTCAGAAAGGCACTTATTTGTGCACAGACCTGGGAGAAAACATCAGTATTTTTTCACAAATCTTAACTGGGGGAAAAAAAAAAGTACTTTCTGCATAAATTAGATAATAGAAAATCATGACTAACTCTTGAACACAAAGCTTATTACTTGCTATTGACAAGACTGTGGTTAGATATTTTAACATCTTTTTTTCAACGTAAGTGTCTTTCCTAGGAGAAATAAAACAAAGGGCATGATCTAGTAGGAACCTGTATTTCTGCTTAAATAGTTTAAGGGAATGTTACTGCCTTCTCAGCTGAATGTTAAGTTTTCCCAGCTGAGATGTTATAACTGGGTGTGTATTCCTTATATACTTTAGTACAACAAGACTAAATTCATGTTAATAATTGCAAAAATCATACTGAAAGTTATGTCAGTGAACTATGCAGTGCAGTAATGTTAGGTCCTGCCTAAATATGCAGTACATATTCCTATTTGAGGATGGTATTTTCTTAAATGTCCCCAAGAGGGTAGCAGACTTTTGCCTCGTGTCCATGGAACACAATGGTTGACATTGCCAGGTATCTCTTAATTTGATTGTGTTTTTAGGGGGGAAAAAAATACTATGTCAATACTCCAATAAAGACTTGCAGCATCATTCTAGAGAAGGAGGCCTGATGGGAAGTGGTGTCAATCACTTTTTGCCTGCAGAAATGTTCAAAGTCTTTTTTTGTGGTTGGCTTTTTCCCTCTAAATGCCATTAGAAGGGGCAGTCAGGTTTGAAACCTATAATACGTGATTTCTGATGATGAGTCGAAAGTCTTGCTGCATAAATTTCCTAGACCTCTGTAGAATGCAAATGTTTTCTCTTCTTATAGATGTGTTAAGTCTGTGTGATTGCAAAGACAGAATCCTAAACCTGAAATGTGTTCAAGTGTAGCAGCTTATTCCTAATTCTGCTGATGACAAAAATCCTGTGCTGCTGATTAGTAAAATGAAAAAAATTAATTTCCTTAATTGTCATTGCTGCTAATTAGGAGTTTTTTGATGGCGAAACACAGAGGAAAAGCTGGTGGCATTTGGGGAAAATGCTCAGGAAATGGTGAAGATTGAGGGTTGGATTGGTTGGATTTCTGTTGTTCACACCTTGCTAGCACAGGTGATTTTGAAAAAAATTCCCCAAGATGTATTTTTAAGCATATCAACACATATGAGTGATAATCTCTGGCAGAGAGATGCTTGTGAATATTTTGGAATGGTTGTCTCTTTCCATTGGCACAGATCATTTTGAAGGAGAACAGCTGTCTGCAGCCTGGCCATGAATTGGCCAGCTTTATCCTGCAAATATTTGAACAAATTAATGAGGCTGATGGAGGTGTGAAGGGATGTGAACCCTGGTGGACGCAGCTGGTGATGCATTGGTTATGGATGCAGCTGTTCTGATAAGACTGAGTATTTTCAATGTATTTGTCAATAATCACAAATATGCTCTAAGCTGAACTGTAATTCAACTTTCAGAAATAAAACAAACAGGCCTCTCTTGTTAGATATACTGAAGTGGGTTTTTGGTTTTGGTTGTTTGTTTTTTTCTTTTTTTTTTTTTTTGGCATAGTTTCTACTTAGTAAGAGGCCTCTCAAACAGGAGGTGGTTGAGAATGATGAATGGCTTGAACATTTCAGGATAGTACTTGGGTTGTTATATTTTCCTTTCTTGCAGAGTTTTGGAAGGAAGAAGTGAGCCAACTTCTCAAGATTGCCCTTCTGCATAGCACATTTTTGTGTGTATGTATAGCAAGCATCTTTTGCATTGACTTTAAAATCATATTCCCTTCACTAGTAAAATTCCATCAAGTTCATGACTAAAAAATGCAAAGTATTGTGGGTTAAGACTATCCACATTCTAATTGAAAATAAATTTGGAGAGAAATACCCAAATCCTGTCAGCCATATTGTTATCAGACATACAGTACTATTGAGCTTTACTTGTGTTTTTTCTGACTTTATTCTTGGTATTTTTCAATTTTTTTTTTTCTTGATTCTGTATTTAACATTCATACCCCAATGCACTTGCTTTGAATACAGACAAGTTTTAAATGATTAGTATGTACAAGATTGTGTTTGGTTTTAAATACTACTTGAATAGAAATTAATAGTTTATGGATCACTTCTAACTCAGTATTTTTCCCTGTAACACTTCAGGAGAAGGTCTGTCTGAAGTAATAACTGTGCAAAGGATACTTAAGTATATTGGAGAGGAAACGCTCGCTTGACTTGTAGGTAGGATAAATGTCACTGATATTTTAGCCTGGTTTACTAGGCAACATCAGCTTGAGAGTTAGGTATATTTACTTGGCCTGGTGTTTGTCCAGTCAGGGTGTTCATACTGACCACTTGACATAACTGTCATTTAGAATCAAGTATTGAGGGGATATTACTGGAGGATTTAAGGAGAGTGCAGGGGACATTGGAGGCAACATTTAGAACATGGAATAAACTTCATTTGTTCCACTGTTCATGAGACAATGTAGAAAAACATCAAATTGAGCAAGAATTGGTGAGAATAGGGATTCAGATTTTTCTTCCTTCTCTCTCCCACCCTGTTCTCTACAAGAGTTAAAAATTGACTGATTTAGGTATTTTGACGTTTATTTTACAATTTAGTTTTACACATCATCAATGCTTGAAACAAAACTTGTCATGTATTAGGATAGTTTGCATTTGTTTTGGCTAAAACACTGTACATAAATGTTACGGCATACCTCTACCTGTAAAGCAGGGGTTAAACCCCTCCTCACTCAAGCACTAAGTTTGGGTACAGTCGATCTATCAGTTGTGGTACTACTGGTCCTTAGATGTCTCAATTCAGTTAAAACTGTCAGTTCTACCACCAAACAATATTGTAGCATTTATTCTGAGAGGTTTCCTAGAAAAAAGTATCCTCCCACCCCTCCCTGCAGCTGTATAGTATATTCTGCTGCTGTCAGTGTGAGCTGATGGCTGTCCTTCGGGCTGGTCTCAGTTCTGAAGGCAGTCTGTTCCCTCCCACCTGTCTCCTCTCGCTTCCCTTGCCCACGCTGCTGCCTTCCTTGCACTGCCCCAGAGTTTGTTCAGCAGCGTGGTCAGCCTTCTGCTAACCCAATAGCATCAAAGTTCTCACGTACAGGTGTTTTCTCTATTTGTTTCTCTGCCTAGCTACGAAATTTGTTGTACTAATAGAAGAAAAATGGTATTTCTGGGAGAGGAGCAAGCAGACTGAGGCAAGCCTGCTGCTTTTGCTGAGTCTCCGGCTTGTGTGAATTAATGTGTTCGCTACACAGCTAAGAGGATATCTAGTGAGATTCTGTATGTTTGCAAAGTCTTCTCATGCTAAAAATCACATGAATGATAAACTACTGAGTGATGTTTCATTTAAATCAGTCCTGCATTGTTCTTGTGATTTTCACTGTGTAATCTTGGCAAAACGTTAGGAGTGATGCTGAGCACAAGTAGAGAGAATATAGACTATCATGATTACACTGCTGTCTTTTGATTTCTTATAGCCTCTTGTTCGTAAACTGAGGGTGACAGATGGTGACAATTGAATTTTTCGAGGGTGTTCCGTGGCACAGCTATGAGTGAAGCTTGAATAGAGATGTATGCAGTATGTCAGCTAGATTTGAGTAGTGTTTTCTGGCAATGAAAAATAATTAGAACTGAAAATCTAGGGATTATATTCCAAATTCTGGAATAGGTACTCCAGTCTTACAGGTCCTTTCCCATTGTCTTTTTCTCTCTCTGAAGTAATTCAGAGAGGACATGGATGGCTTCAGAAAGGAAAAGAGTATCACAATTGTACATATGTTGGAAGGCATTAAGACATTGCTTGTTACACAAAAATAATGGGATTTATATACTCTGAGAGAAGTTGCATTAAAATTCTCAATAAAGAATCATAGAATCATTTAGGTTAGAAAAGACCCTTAAGATCATTGAGTCAAACCATAAACCTAACACTACCAAGTCCTCCACTAAACTATGTCCCTAAGCACCACAACTGCAGGTCTTTTAAATACCTCCGGGGATGGTGACTCAAAAGAGATAAGCAATGACATAAAAGGAAAAGAAACAATAAAAAGCCAAAATCATTTCACTTCGTAGTAGTTGTGGAAGAGCTACATCTTTGTATTTTTTTCATGTAGAATGGTTTGGATCCTAATTAGTGCAGCTCCTGATAACTGCAGTGACAGGACTCCGGGAAATACGTTCCTAAGAAATGAAATGCTTAAGTCTTAACATGATAATACGCTGTTGATTTGTCAACTTGTAACCATTGTAAGTTATTTTCCACTCTCTGACCATTCTCTTTATTTGTGGCAAAAGTTCTGGTATTTCTGACAGTATGCCTATTTGACTTTTGCAATTATTACTTGCCTACAGCAGTTGAGGAAGTTCACCATCCTGGGCTGTTCACCTTTCTGTGCTCCTAGATGAGCACTCTGAGCAGCTGTAGTTCATGATCCAGGTAATCAGTAGTAATTAAGATGAACTGAACTGGGTTGTGGACTGTGGCAGCTGATGTATTCCTGAGGAGAACAGGCCTGATCTGAAGCTGGTAACCCTGACCAGAGGGGTGGTTTGGCATGTGGAGATGGCAGCCTTCTCAGCCACTAAAGCTGACCCTAACAGAGATTGCAAATCAGTCTTTAAGCAGTTGAAAGGCAATTGCAGAAAGTTGTTTGAGAGCACTCAAACAAGTTGTTCGATCTCAAAGCTGATTTTTTTCTTTTTTTTTTTTTTTTTCTTCTCTGATGCTTATTTTACCTAGGATCTAGAATTCTAGGAGCAGACAACTTAGTTGATTACCTGTATCATCTGGATAGCAAGAAGACTTCAAGCTTTATTATCCCCATACCTTACAGTATCTTTTCTTCTTGTATCTCCTCATCTGAAGTATGGCACTCAAGTTTAATACTATTGCAGCAAACATGAATAAAGTGACTCATTTGGGTCTACAAAACATGAAAAAGACCTAAAATACTTTGCATTTTCCGTACCTTTAAAAATACTCATGTTTTCTTGCTTTCTTTTTTTTTGTTGTGAAGGTTTGCTTTTCTGCAGTTTCTGTTGTTTTTATAAAATCTTCTACATTGACTTACCCATAGCTTCACTACACAAAGGGAAAAACTAAATTTTATTTTTATTACTTACAGTATTTAAACTTTTGAAGCCATGGGAGTAAAGGTCCAGAGACCTCGTTGCTTTTTTGACATAGCCATCAACAATGTACCGGGTAAGAAAATGAAAATATCCATTCAGTAACATAAGATTCATGTAAGAAATATGAGAGTAATACAAATACCAGTTAACTTCATAATAAACATAGCACTCTTTTTCTAGCTGGAAGAGTGGTCTTTGAACTGTTTTCAGATGTGTGTCCAAAGACATGTGAGAATTTTCGCTGCCTTTGCACAGGTTTGTGGATTTTTAATTTTATTTATAACAATTTTTTATAATTACTACATTTCAATATAATTTTCATTAGCTAGTTTGATGTCTATGTTCTCTTTCCTGACGTTTTCTTACATATAAAAAAGTATGTAAAACATTGGTTCTTGGTATCCCTAGAGATTTAGGGATTTCTCTTATACATCTGATGTAGAATCGAAGCAGTTACAGCTCTGGCTTAGTGTGTTGCAGGCAGTATATACTAATCAACTTTAAATACGGACACAGTAAGCTGATTTTCTGTTACTAGCATAGATATTACTGTTCACATTATATAACATCATCCAGTCCTGAAACGTAGCCAGTAAGAGGTCAACCATGCATATGTACTTTTCTGTCTTACGATACTTTGAGGTATTTGAAAGGTATTACTGGTATTCATTAGTAGGTTTTTTTTTCTTCATTTTAATTTTTCTTTGTTGATGGAGACCAGTGATTTCCACTCCTATGGAAATTCAGATTATTTCTTGAACAAAATACTGAGAAGATTCTCTCCTGGAAGCATTTCCAAGAATTATTGTCCTGTGGACTGCATGCTTTTGTTGAAAATGCTGACAGTTTAGCAAAACTTAAAGTTATTATCACGAGAATAATTTTGTGAATCCATAAATAGCATACATGCTTTCTGTCTTCAGCATTTTCTGCTTCCTTTCCTTCCAGCTCTGTTGTTTTTCAGGTCAAGGCTCTATAGCTGTTAATACTGAATCACTCAGTAGTACTAATATAATCTGAATCAGGTGTTGGTACATAATTACATTCATGTCAAGTTAGTTAGAACACTTAGTGTACCATTCATGATGTCTGCAGGAATGTAGGCATTATCTGATCTGGCATTAGGTTTACTGGCACAAAATCAGATTATCAAAATTTGTTAACAAATTTGAACCTTAAAGTGATTCTTTCTAATGTCTGTGAGTATGTTACCATGTGGCCATGGCATTCTTGATCTGCTGTCAACTGCCCAAAAGGCAGATTTATTGCATAAAGGTGTTATTCCCTGCTACTGCTTTAAATTTTTGACTCAAAGTGTTCCAACAGCATTTCAGGTCAGGGACAAGTACTAAGTTCATACTTAGTTGCTGACATTTAAAATCAAATTCAGATGCTGAACTACTTTGCTGCTTTAACATACTTAAGAACAGTGAGGAAAATATATGGGCAAAGTGTTTATGGATATTATCATCAACAAACCAAATTTTGTTTTTTATTTGTTTTCCTTACTCATTTTTTGGGGGCAGTTTTGAAAACTATGTGCTGCCATCTTAAAATGGGAATCAACAGCTCTGTGTTTTCCTGGCATACCTATGTTAGGCATATGCCAAGTTAGTGGAATATACACAGCTTCACATTTATCAAAGTTCCTATCAGAAGTGTTTTTTCTAGCTAATCAGATCCATATGGAGGCACCAGTCTGTTACAGCTAAGTTGAGAGGCAACTGCCCTTGACAAAAACTGCCAGTTTAATAGCTAAGAATAAGATTATAGGAAGATACATGCAGTCTAATGGTCTGCCAGAGGAAGAGATCCTTTTACTTCCAGCATACTCCCACTGATTACCTTACTGTTACCTTGAGGTTGGCTCTGCTGTTCACAGGACCCACCATGAGCCATTTGTCTCAGCAGGGACCTTATCAACTTGAGGGAGGCAGGGAAAGTAGATAGTCGTGTAGCTGAAGCAGAGAGTCTGCTTAGGGGTTTTGAGCACCAGAGCTGACATAAGGGAGGAAGATGTAGTTCTAATCAGTGGGGGAGGGAATGACACTCCTTCTCCCTCCCTTGCCTCTTTGTTTTTGTTATGAGCTTTTATGGTACCTTAACCTTGCTGTGTTGTAACTGAAGATCTAAGTGTTTCTTGCCTGAAAAGGTAACTTGCAGTGCCAGTTATCCTAAACCTAAACTGGCTGTTGAATTTCAGTCAGTTTGCATGGAAAAGACCAGAATTGTATACTAATGTTAGTAAGGAATTCTTTTGGTATAGCTGTAGATACAGAAGGTAGTTTCTGCTCTGCTTTCTTAAATGCTAGTTTCTTACTGATATTGCAGGTATGTGTCTGCCTCTCAAGCTAATTTTTCAGAATTTAGTAGATTATTTTGATTAAGCGCTTACATAGGACTTTTTTGTAGTGAAGACTCTACAGGTACAGAGAGTAATTTTGGTTTTTGTTCCTCCTTTTCTCCTTTAGGTGAAAAGGGTACAGGAAAATCCACCCAAAAGCCATTGCATTACAAAAGTTGTCTGTTTCACAGGGTTGTGAAAGATTTTATGATCCAAGGAGGCGACTTCAGTGAAGGTATGATATGATCTTTGAAGAACACTTTAATGCATATGTAATAGAATATTGCAGGAGTTCTGCGTAGCATCATTTATTTATATTAATTATTCTGTGATTCAACTGCTTTTCCCCCTTTTCCTGTTTAAGAATCTTTATGTGAAAACTTGTATAATAAACTTACTTATGCACATGTGTGCACACACACTTCTGCTCTGTTATCTCAATACTAAGTACTTTCTATTGAAAAGTTTAAATGTGAAGGTAAAATATATCTGCTGCTGAAAAATAAAGAAAAAAAGGGAGACTATACTAGAATACATGGGAGAATACTTTCTTGTTTTCCAAGTTTGCTTTGGGACTAGGGAGACACATCTTGATCTTCTTTGCATATCTTGAAGAATAATGTCAGTGACTTGGATGCATTTGGTTCACTATTTTGTGTTATGAAGCACCTTCCACATAATGTGACTTTTAATCGCTACTTTGAGTTGTAACTGTCACTTCTCTCCTTTCAAGGAAATGGCAGGGGAGGAGAATCCATTTATGGTGGCTTTTTTGAAGGTAAGAGTTTTATCAGTCTGCTCCATTTTGATGTTACTGTAAGTGACTACCTTTATGTTCTGTAGTCTGTTCTGTAAACCTGAACTCCACTGTTTTTGTTAAGATTTTGTCTGGTCTCAGAGGCCTTTGACTGTCTAGTTTAGGTTATTTAATTTTACTTTAAGATATGAACCTTCTAATTAATGAAAAATTAAAATGGAACTCCTTTGTATTGGTCCATTTTACCAGATTCAGATTTTTATAACTGTTTTTAAACATACTGTTTTGGCTTGAGCAGCCAGCTAAAAGTTTGGGATTGTCGTCTTCCAGTGTAAAGGAGAAAGGCATGATGGAGTCAGATTTCCTTGCAAATGTTTATTTAAAAGAAAGCATAAAGCCCTGCTTTCCTGAAACCAAGAGGAATTAATGATAAAGAGGCCATCAGTTTTCTCGCGGTCCTGGTTCTTTTTCAGTCAGTGTGGCAGAAGTACCACCTCTTCTGCACTCCAGTGTGTTTCTCAGCCTGTGTTTGTCCAGAATGTAGTGGAGCGCCCCTGATTCTTGGAGCAGTTTTGGTATTACACCTAAACCCATGTGATGGCTTGCTGCTACCAGCAGGAGTGGTTATGCTCCGCCCTTGCACTTTCATTTTAACATTGGTTCTTGTCTAAGCATGTAGCAAACAATCAAAAGAATTACTCGCTATTTCAGTAGGGCCAGGCTGCAATTTTACATCAGACCTTGAGGTGAATCAACAGGTTGCAACTGCCAAAAGAGGGAGGAGCTCTTACCTTGACTCACTCTCATTCAGATTAAACTTTCAGGTGATTCAGCTTGCTAAAATGCCCAAAGACTATTGAAGCAAAAAAAATGTATTTATGTCCATGTTAGTGAGCGGACCCAATTCAATAATTTGGTAAGCATCAGAACCAACACAAATGAGTGGCTGGGTTTGAGGAAACCTATGGCTGGGGGAGATGGAAAAAGGAGCAAAAGCTCTACCTGCCTTCGGGAAATTGCAAGCTGGCTGTTCAACTTGGCTGCAGTATGAAACTGAATTCATGGGAGTTTTTGCTTTTGTGGATCCCTTAACCAACTCACCATCAGATTAGATTGCCACTTGATGCTATTGCAGATAGCAGTTATACAGGTGACTGGAGAGCGAATGGGACTGTCCATTTCACTGCCAGTGACACAGTGTGATGTGAAACCATAGCTTTACAGATAGTGTACTTCTCTTCTTTGTTAATGCTTGCTCCTGCTATCTGTATCTAAACAATATTGAGCAAACTTCCTCTGTCTGAAGAGGTTGGATCCCCTAACAGCCTTTATGTGGTTTTGGGAAAGGAGGGAGACAGGATAATCTCCTACAGATGTCTTAAGTGAAGAATAGTGATTACATTTCACAGTTTCATTGGGATTTAGTTTGAACTGTTACAATGATTTGCTCATCAGAAGTAGGATTCATTCAACTTAAACTTATTTTCTTAATGGCCAGCTTGGTAAGTTTATTTGTGTGTCTGACAGACAAACAGAATTTGTTTGGGATTGCCGTCAAACTGGATATCTATGTGTATTAAAAAATAACAAAACAACAAAACTGCCTGAAAATGAGGTGTTTATTAATAGTTAATGCATAGCTAAAAAAGTACTTCTGCTTTGAAGAGTCAATGATCGCTATGTGCAGAATAGAAAGAGCAACAACTTAAAATCATGAGGTCTCTGCTCATGTTGGTAGGAAACAAATCCTTTAAACAAGAATACTCAATTTTTTAGTTTTTTCTCAGACTATAAAGCATTAATTCATATTTGCTTTATGAAATTGCATTATTTAGAAGGAAAGGAATAATATATTTAAAAATAGCTATTGTTCTGAATTTACTTTTAATAAAACATTTTATTGAAGGGACTAGCAGATTTATTTAACAAGCATGAGTTTACTTAGATTACAGCATTTATCTAAGCATATGTAGTATATTTAACTGAAAACACTTTCTTTAGATGAAAGCTTTGCTGTAAAGCACAACAAAGAATTTCTCCTTTCAATGGCCAACCGAGGGAAAGACACAAATGGTTCACAGTTCTTTATGTAAGTATTGTTCTGTTCTGAAATGTGTGTGTGGTTTGCCATTTGTAAGCTGTAAAGGCAATCCTTTCAAATATTGAAGACTAGGTCCTGTGCAAACCCAGAGTTGATGGTTTTCCACAAAGTTGCATGAAAGTAACCATTTTCCTAATGGACTGTTTAGGGAGCCTGACTATTTTTATCACTTTTGTGTTTAGTGGTTGCGTTGCTGCCTGTGCAAAAGAGCTTTTGGTAATTTTCAGTAGCTGTGTTATAACTTGGGCAATAAAGCAAACCTGTTAGTTCCTTGTAGAAATCTTACCACTTTCTTCTAGTCAGTGTTGTCTGGAAGGAAGCATAACACCTCTGGGGGTTCTCAAAAGTAGTAGAGGGGTTTCTTGTCACAAAATAACTTTCCAGGGTAGTTGCATTTACAGTTAAAACTTAAATTCTTAAAATAAATTGCAGTAGACGCTTCTTAAATCTAATTTACCTACAGAAAACATTCTTGAAATACATCACTCTTATCCTGTTTCATGACCTTAATTAACGTGGTGAGTTGTGGATGTCACTTACCATTTGACGTGTATTTTGAGATTTCTGACCAATTGTTGCTGTAGTTATCGCAGTTTTTTACTTCTGTCATGGCTGACATCTGTATGCCTTAGAAATGCTAGTATAGGGGAAAGCTGAAAGTCAGTATTACTTCTATGTTAAATAATCTGTCCATACGGTTATTTTTTCTTCCTTTGATTTCTGATTATTTTCTAATGTATAGAGGGTTATTTGCAGTTTTCCTGCTTCAAGACATCTGCCTTAATTTTTATATCTATTCCTGGTAGTATTGGTATAATTTAATAAATGGAATACTTACTATATCCTATATGAGGATGCTGTCTAAAAATTTGTGCACTTTTGTTTGTTCAGTAAAATGTGATAAAGTAATGAATTGAATAGGCAATTTAATGTATAAAACATTAACTACTTTTAACTGCACACAAACTTAGAATAATACATACTGGCTTTCAATTTTAAGAGTTAACTTAAAATAACTTTCACCTTCATATGTGTATATGACACACTTCAAATGCTGACTGCTTTCCACTAGTACTGACTTTGTTTTTTCTCTTTAAATGAAAATATGGAAACAATAGAACAACTAAACCTACACCTCACTTAGATGGGTAAGTATCTCCTACCTTCTTCTTATGTTTGTTTGTGAGCTGCCTTAAGAAAAACAAGTACTAAGAATTCTCACTTTTGTTTAAATTCTTCAGACATCATGTTGTTTTTGGACAAGTCATCTCAGGTCAGGAAGTTGTGAGAGAAATAGAAAACCAGAAAACAGATGCATCTAGTAAACCATATGCTGAAGTACGCATACTGAGTTGTGGAGAGTTAATTCCAAAATCCAAAGGTAAAGTTGAATTGTACATTTTTATAGATGCAAACTATGAGGTAATTTTGCTAATTTTTTTCCCTGTTTCTTGCTTGTAAAAATATTTAGAAACTTACTTGTGATGGATGGAGGGGCAATTGGCGAAAAAGTGAATAACAATGCAGTACAGCCTGTCTTCTAAAAAATTTAAAAGGTGTTGATGCAGCAGACATTAAAGAAACATCTCATACGCTTTCTTCAAAGCTTCTCCTGTCTTGGATTTCCTTATACTAGCTAAATTTTAGTACAAAGCTGGCAAACACTTGTCCCATAGAAAGTAGAGGGCTATGTTAAGAGGATTGATGGCAGTCTGACTTCCTTCGGGTAAATGTTCAGAACAGGCACTTAGAGTAGAAAAACCTGGAATTGCCTTTAGCAGATATCCTTTTTAAGTTACTATAAACTATATTCTTAAACAGGAGTATGACAGAACCTACTTTTCTTTCTGGAAGGGATGCCCTGCTCTGCCATTCCAGAGCTGAATGTGGTATTGGAGATTAGATTCTGCTTCTCTTAAAAAATAAGGCTCAATCTAAAGTGTTGCTGTCACTCTGGAAAATCTCATTAGAGGAAACCAGGGATGGATGTTCAGTAGGAACTGTGATAGGGATCATCTTGCTTTTTCATTCATAGCACCTTTTGCTGATATGTACTGTGAAGGGTTGCACCAAGGATATTGAAGCACAAGACAAGAATAATTCTTTCTTTGGCCTAAAGAAAATACAGGCATTCAAACTTGAGCTTCTTAGTTTTTCTTCTCCTTCTTGATGCAGTTCTGTGTCCACCTGTGATGTCTAGCAGAATGACTTTGGAGTCTGAAGTGATTTCTTTAATACCTCGGAATTACAAGCAGTTATCTAATGGCTTCTGACTTCTCAAACATTATACATCTTCCTAGATTAACTCATAAGTCACCCTCTGTGTTAGGACATAATCTTGTTTTTCCAAAGAGTACTTAGGAGCATGGTATCTGTTAGAAAATGCACAGGTGGCACAGATTAGAAAATAAAATAATATAATACAGATACAGAGTGGGTGAAGCTAGTGGATGAGATACCCACTCTGTATATGTGCCTGCCTTGATTTGCCATATTCCCTTTTTAGTCCACTCTTAAACCCTTGAAATTGAATGACTAAATGAAGGGTTTGGCACTGAGCAGTCTGATGACTTAAAGCCATTAGGCAGGACTTTAAAGTATTTGTCATGAAAAGAGTGAATAAAATAAATATAAAATGGTTTTTTCCTTTAACTTCTTGTGAAAGAGAACAGGCTTCTAAAAAGATCTGACTGCCTGGTCCTACCCATTTGTCTGTGTCTTGTATCTCTGCCTCAGTACTGCTGGGATCTTTGAGACTGCTTCTTGTAGCTGGTCTGGTGTGACACAGAGGGAAATTGATGCCAGGGTGATGGGATAGCACACTCAACTGACTGTAAGGCACAGTACTAGATAATGGCGGGCAGCGGGAGTGTTTGGAGAACGAGAGGCCTTAGACACCAGGCTTGGGCAGGTGGGAGGCAGAGCCGAGCGGGGGGGAGATGTGGGCCCTAATGGGCACTAATGCAGAGCCAGCCAGATGAAGGTGCTGCCCGACAGACCACAGTGAAGACCCTGGTGAGTGGAGAATCCTGTTATTGAAAGGGAAAGGCTGTCTGTAGGACCTGCAAAGGGAAATCTGCCGCTACTGTGAGAGGTGATAGTATGGCTGGAACTGTTTACTAAATGCACAGCATGGAACCACTGATGAGCTGTGTTGACCTGAGGCAGCAGAGATAGGAGGAACAGTTTGTCATCTCATCAGCAGAAGCAAATTTGCCAAGCTGCAGTCCAAAGCTGACAAGTGGAGCCGGAGAGGCCTTTGGACCTGTCAATACATGGAAGAGGCCAAGGAATCCACATAGGAGGAGCAGTTTCTGGGAGGTGAGCAGTGTCATGGAAGATCATCAACAGAGTCGTCTAACAGTGAAACTGTTCGTAGCACATTACTATGGGAGGCAAAAGGGAACTGATAACTGTGAAATATGAGGCAGTTACCAGAGGAGACTGCTTCTAAGAACTTGCTTTTAAGACAAAGGAATAAGCATGTTGCCAGTGAGGTATAATGACAGGTTTCTGTGGGAGGGTACATTATGATAGCAAGGGGAGCTTAAACTAAAATATTACTGTATGAGCTTGTCCGGTAGGCAACCCAAAGGAAGGAATTAGACAAGTCTTTATGGAACGAAAATAGAACTGATACTTCTTGGGTTTAGCAGGGAAGACAAGATGGGACTAGCAGAAGGAATCACAGTAGAAGTTAGGTGCTTGGTATGAGTGTTTTTCTCTTAGCTGAAAGTTGAGGAAAAGCGATTGGACTTCTGGGTATCATGATGAATATCCAGATGAAGTGCTTTATGAAGGAAGTAAATCTATCTTTGTGTAGAAGAATTGGATTTATTTAGGGATGAGTGGATGACTGAGCTGACTTACAGGGTGCTGTGTGAATCAATGATACAGCGATCACAATTATAATATTGCAGAGGTCTAGGTCAGAAGCTTTCACCTGTGATTTGAGAGGATGATCACCTAGAAAAGTGGAATGTTTGTTGTCTTTTCCTTTGTTATTTTTTTCCCTTATTATTCCGTAAAGTTGGAGGAGTTAGTGAAGATGAATGAGAGAAGCTAAATTATGAAAGAAGAATATCTCTGGCCAAGTGGTATTATCTTTAGAAATTCTTAAAGTTCCAGGGAAAATCCTGAAAGCTGCGGGAAACAAAAGAAGAAAGCTAAGTATTAAGCCAGTATTTAGAAAGGTCATTATGGAGTAGCTAAACTAGTAGAATTCTCAAGAAAAACTGTAGAACAAGTAACATAATATTAATGTTCTTAAAGACAAATGGGAGTTTGATACCAGCTGACAAAGTTATGTAGAAGGTGGTCTAGTCAAACAAGCCTGGCTGCATTGTTTTAGATCATTACTTCGGTGAATCAAAGGTATATCTGGGATGTTTTCAAGAATGTAAGACACTGACATTCTGATTCAAAAACAAACAAAAAAATTTTAACAGCTTTGTGCATTGGGCAGTTTTTAACAAGAGCTTCTAAAGAAGATTTGTCATGAAAAGTGTATTGCTAGGTGATGCTGCGCAGAGCAGTGCTAGGCTTGATTCATGATCTTCATTGATGTTATAGATGTCCCTGTAGAATCACTGCTTGTAAAAGCATGCTTTCTGCAACTAAGGCAGATTATGGTTGCCTTCATAATTCATCAAAGAACAATATTGTTAATTAGGTCATTCTATCAGTACAACTTTTAAAAAAAAATATCAGTACAAATTATCAAGCACCAATACAGAGTGCAAAGTTACACATTTAGGAATCATGAAATATTTATGGAATAAGAGCAGCCTTAGAAAGCGGTGATTCTGGTAAGTCATGTCTTACCTGGACTTTTGATTCATATGTCCTTCCTTTCCTCTTTTCTGACCTATTCAACCCTTATAGTACTCATTTCTTCTGCAAGCTTGTTACACATCATTGTTAGTCTCCTTTCCACAAGCTGGATGCTATAAACAGTTGTTTCAGATTATTTTTTTTTTCCTAGTGAACTGGCCATTAGGTGTTGGCTAAAGCTGAAAGTGTTCAAAGTGAAGCTGGAGATAGCTGCATTTTTTTCTTCTCTCATCTTTTTTTTTTTTTTTTTTTTTTCCCCCTCCCTTTTCTTTCCCCAATCCTCTGCTGTTGCAGTTGTGTGGTAGGTTGCTCATCTACAAAAATATCTATCTCCAGAGGCATTTATGGTACAAGACTTCTCACAGTAACAATGTCATCTGATCAACAAGGATCAAGTATGGTAGTGTGCCTTGGTGCATATTTCTGAGTATTTGATTACTGTGCATAAATTTTTTTTTTTAAGAAACAATGGGTCCTTAATCAAGCAGTGAAAGACATAGTAGGAACCCATGGCAAATAATTGAAGCATGACATGTGCAAAATAGAAAGAAAAAAAAAAAAGACCTGACACTGTGAACAGCAGGGTGATTAAACACTGGAAAAAAAATTAGTTTGGAAAATAACTGTTAAATGTCTTCAAGTAAAGGCACCCTCTTTTTGGAGACTGCTGTAGTCCAACACAGGTTATTGGACTTTATGTAAGGTAATTATTTGAGTATCACTGCTGTGAATTACAAGATGAGATAATCTGTTCTGACTTTTGTGCCTGAGCCTGACTGCTTTCTGGGGAGGTCATTTCTTCATTTCAAGTCCAGGAGTCCAGTATCATGGGGCTAATGTAAGACTTGCTACAGTCCATAATAAGCTGAGATGTGGAGAGTGCTTTGCTGGGCTGTGCAGCATGATCATGTAATTCATGAAGTCTGGCAAATACTATAGGTCACAGTGAATGGAGTAGGAAGTGATGTATCTATGTCAGATGTGGTCATACGTTGAAACCTGATACTGAAGTTAATGAGCTGGAACTCATTGGGCTGGACTGTAAATAGAAGTCTGTTTCTTTCTTGCTGACATTCATGCTGCAGGATTAGTTTCATGTGTTGTTGTGATCTTTAATTGGCCAGCACCAGATTGGTTCAGTACTCAAAATGGCATTTGCTGCCAGACAGAGATAGTTGGATATCACCAGAAAGTATATCCAAAACCTCTTGCCAGGTATTCTGTCTTTGCTGTGTAAACAGTTCTGGGCTTTTTGGTTGTTTTTTGTTGGCAGAGTTTTTGTTGTTTCACTTCCTAGCTGCCACATGATTTCCCAAATACATCTGCCATTGACGTTATTTGCTGCATGTTACAAATCACATTATGCTTGCTGAGGCAGTTGCTTGCTGACTTGCCTCCATTTTTGTCTATTACTCATTTTAAAGTAGTAGCTATAACATACCTAAACTTGTTACAAGAATGCAGATAAAACTGTTGCAGGTAGTTTTTGACACGGTTAAAACATACACAGGAGGGATAAAATACAGGAAATGACTGCATTTATTGATA